TCCAAGCAAAATCACATTTAAAAAAAAAAACACTTTGAGATAAAACTTAAATCTTTTTCTTTGCCAAAAAAAAAAAATCTGAATACCATTGGTGGTACATTCAGAATTAAGCTGTGAAAGAGTTAACCTGGCTACTTAGGTGGTAGCAACCACCAAACTCCTCTGTTCCCCACCCCACCCCCCAGTCATAGTCATAATGGCAGCCTGTTTCTCCCCCTTTGGCTGGGAAAGCCCATTTCTCACTCCCTGGTGGTCAGGGTAGGAGAGAGTAGATGGAAACAGTGAGAGGCCAGAAAAACAGAACACATACAACCAAAGCCACCAGTTGCCAAGCAGGGTGGCCTGAGGCAAAGATGTGGACCCTGTTCAGCAACTATGGTGAGTAGACACAGTATTTGCAATAGGTTGAAGTAAAGGCAACTTGAAACTTGAGCAAAGCACACTTCACAATCTGAGTGCTAGCATTCAAGATCAATTTTTAAAGATATTTCCTTAATTTTATCCTTGTTCTGTTTTGTTAATTTGCAAGAATATTGAACCACTCTGCTTTCGACTCCCCTAAAATGCTACTTCAAGAATATTTTGGGAATGTAAATTTTTGTGGGCTGGTCTGGGTGCCTTTCCCTCTTGCCTCAGACCACAAACGTATATTATATCTATGGTAAATGAGCTCTAAGTTAAAAAAAAAAAAAAAAGAATCCTGTAAACAAGCTCTTAATGTGTAAGTTATCTGTAAGCCAGGATCCACCCATACACTGAAGCTGTTATGCATTTGCTTATTAAATATATACTGAATGACCTATTATGTACCAGGAGTCATGCTAAGTGCTAAGGATAACTTCAGTGAGCTCAGAGTTCTTTGGAGAAGACACAGTGTAGCTGAAAAGCAAAACGGAGAGATGAACAGGGCCACATTATGACATTCAGGGCTCTCAGCATTTTTGCCCCTCTTCTCTCCTTGGTGGTGCAAGGGAGTTAAACTATCACCACCACCAGCATCAACATGGGAATCCTCCTTTCTGATGGTGGCCCTAGAAGTTGCATTTATTATTTATCCCATAAAGTCAATGGTAAAGGAATAGCAATAAAACTTGATCAAATTCAAGCCAGAAAAACTCCCATTGTTGAGAATGTAAACATGCTTGGAACTACACAGAAGGTAGTTGGATTGTGGTTAAGCAGCAACATTTCTGCAATAAAATGTGAGGAGGGATGCATATGTACTAGGCCACCAAGGGGAAATTCTGCCTTCAAATGAAACATTAATAAAGGAAAAATACATCCAAAAGTATTTTTATTTTCCTGAAAAGGGGAAAAGTATAACACAGGAGCCAACCCAGATTCTTTTTATATAAAGGTTTATTAGTTATGCATACAGAACTGGGGTACAGGCGAGATGAGAGGATTCACCATAGTCAGAGCAGGGAGCAGAACAGGCATATTGATGAAAGATACTGCTGAGGGGAGCAGTGGGCGAGACATAAATCTGCTGCGCCATGTGGGTCACCTCCAGGGTGGGGATCGAACTCACAC